TGAACCAAATTAAATTTCTTATTATTCCACGGGTAGCCCCGGGCACTTTAGTTAGTCGAAAATAAATCATATATTTCAGTAAAAGTAAATAATACTTAATCTAGAGTTTAAACTTGGAAATATAATCTTAGGACTTATTGATGAGTGATGGAACTAAACTAAGAAAATAATAATAATATTTAATCTTAAGAACTCAGACGAATTGTAAACAATTTATTAAAAAGTGGAAGATTAAGAATTTGATGCGGTATAAAAGGGAGGAGGGGGCGGGGTAATTCCACCCCCCCCCCCTCCTTTCATCAATGAATAAAGATTAAAGACCTACCGGAGATAAAGAAATTCACTTAACCCGGTGTATTGGGTTGGGTTGGGGGGGAGGGGCGGATTTACCAGAACAAAAGGGGCCGCTAAGTACTCCTTGGTTGTTATTTACAAAGTGTGGAATGTTTCGACAATTTAGGAGATTTTTTCCAGATTATCTTTATCTTTCAGGAATTCTCATTGTTAACAGAGAAATTTTATTTTACGAAGAGTAACCACAGATTTCAATTATCTGCGGGACTGGAAACCTGAACAGATAATTGGTTTTATTATCTATAGTGTTAACTTACATATAGGACAGTTGTCAAAAACTGTTTAGTATGAATATTAAATACGAGTGCCCCCCCCCTGGGACGGGGGGGGGGCACGCAGGGGGGGGGGGTTAATTTAATATTACATCTGGAGATTTGTTGAAAAAATCCTCAGATTCTTGATTTCGGAGGCAGTACAATTGTAAAGCTTTTCATTAACTTTTTTAAAAATAATTTTGTTTTTTTCATGTTCACAAACCTACATAAGCAGATGTAGTTTAATTAATAAAGATTCAATTGAGAGGTTGAAAGTGACTGCAGACATAATTTCAGTTCTGATTCACAAAAATACCTTTCAAAGCTTTGTCTGATTAAGTATTGCATTAAATATCCATGTTTTCCATTTTGAAAACTGATTATTTTCATTTGTGGTTTCTTTACAAAAGTGACTCATGAATTTCAATTGCTCCAGAAACGATGGAAAAATGTACAAAGGTACATAAGACATGCCACTTGAAATTACGCATGTATTCTATTTAAGTATGCTTTGAAAATATAGATATTTTTCACCCCTTGAAGCTTACACGCGCACAGTATAAAGGGAGTGTCTGATGAGTCCAATGAAGAGAATTACATAAATAACTTATCAATACTTGTAATATGAAAGTGTTTAGTGCTTAGTGATCGAATAGTTTACCTTAACAAAGTTAAAAAAGATATAAACATTTTTTCAAAAAGGGGTTTTTAAGGGGCCGGACAATGTTACCAAGGGGGGACACCAAAAAATGTCCCCCTACACAATGATCTCGTACGCCTCTATGTTAATCAAGAATTCTTGAATTCATATGAGGACTTACAGTGTACATTTCCCGTACATTGGAGTCATTGAAGCGCATCCAGAGTATCTAACCCAGTGGCGTACATAGGGGGGGGGCAGTAGTCCTCTTGCCCCCCCCTGGGAGTTCCAGGGGGGGCCCTGCCCCCCCTGGAAAATAGAAAATTAAAAGGAAACAAATTTAAAAAGTAACAGCTGACAATGACAAAGACTAAGGATTTGTCCAAATTCACTGTTAACACAAAATTTTAAGATACTTTAGACTAAAACTTTTGCAAAAACAAGACCTCGACATATTAGATGCTTATAACATGATGTAAGATGTAATAAAGGTATTCTATTTTCTATTTTTCTATTTTTTCTTACAGTCAATTTATAAAGGAATTGAGTCTTTGGCACAAACTCAAATATGTAAACCTTTGGAATCTGATGTTGTAAACCTTTGATATTTCAAATTCAGAATATTTNGATTTAGTTAGCTGTGATGGAATTAAGTGATAAATTTATAAATTTATAAAGTTAAAAAGTTAAAGTTAGTTTTTCGAGCAAAGGAATAAATTTTAGTATAAATTTTAGACTCTATTAGGTTAGTAACACTCAAAAATGTAGTCTTTTTGGTGTATTTTTATGGTGTTGATTGACTTTTTAAACAAAACAATTCCAGGGGGGGCAAAAAACAGCCAGGGGGGGGGGCAAAAATTTTTTTTCGCGCTTCGCGTGAAATCTTGCCCCCCCCTGGCTAAAATCCTGTGCACGCGCCTAATCTAACCTCATATATAAACCTTTGGTAGAACCCTTCTGCCAAATTGATTGTAGCAGTCGAGAACATTGCATCAATGGTTAAAACCTCGGAACAAATTCTAGATCATGCGTTGGGACAAAACATTAAAAGACATGAGGATTCCGAAGAAGAGTAGGTTGTGACCTCGGTTAGGAGAATCTGCAGGAAGCGGAGGTGTAACAGTGGGAAGGGATGAGACAACAATCACAACACCAACAGCAGAGGAGATTCCATGGGAGGATTACATCCCTCCTCCAGCACACAAAGAAAAATCGGAGAGTTCGGCGAGACCGCTCAATAATAAGAGGGGTAAAACTAACCTGATATGTGGTGAAAACTACATTTATTATACTCTAAACAAACAGGGAGGATATTAGTCCTTATAGAGATGTCTTGAATACAGAAGGGAGAAATGTTCTGCAGTGGCTACAACCTTCATAGAAGAAAAAGAACTTCTAAGCGTCCCTGAGCACAGCCATCTACAGATATTACAAAGATAATGAATAATGAAATATAGCTGAATGTGATGCCTTGAATTCCTTGAATAAAGCAAAAGAAAATCCTACTTTACCTCCTGGAGGAATTATTTGAAAAATCTTAGGCAACAGGGGGGCCAGCTAATGCCCAAGACTTCCTGTGCATTTATATGATCTTTACAGAGTTGCTCATGGTTGGCATCCTGTCACACTACAGACCTTCACTGAAGCAGTGTAACTCCTTCCAGAGAAGTACAAGTTGACTGCTGATGGTGAGCGTTTTTTTTGCTACTCAGGTGATACTGTGGAGAATGGTGATACAACATTTATGTTCTTTATGAGTACAGTCAGTAGACCTGCTGAAACAGTTCAAAGTTTGGTATGCTGATAGAACTTTCTCAACAGCTAACTGTTCCCTATGCCCAGGTGTATGTTGTGTTTGGAAACATATCAGAGGGCAAGGTTTTACCTTGTGCTTTTGGAGTTCTGCAATAAGCAGATAGTAACCTACATATCATTTTGGACCCAGATAAAACGTATGATAGACAGTGGTATTCAACTAGCATACAGTCCAACCCATCTCATCAACAATTTTGAGGCAGCTGGTATCAATGGTTTTTTAGAGATGTATCCTTTGCAGCCAAGATAACTGGTTGTCACTTTCATTTCAGGTTTTATTGTTTTTTTTATTGTAAGGATAGGCTAGAGGGTCAAAAAATAACTTTTTAACATTTAGGAAGAATGTTGTTCATCATATTGGAGATAAGGGATGGAGTCAAGGCAGAGCAGGATCTTCTATCTTGGACTTGTCTGTAGGGGTTCGGTCTGAGAATCAAATCAGGTTGAGTAAGGAACCTTCTTCTGTCCATCAATTGGGCTCTTTAATCGGCCCTCTTTGAAAATGAGTCTTGTATTTCAAAGTTCTGTCTTTTTCAATGAATTTTCACAACTTTTTCGCTAAAATTTGCATTGTTTTTAAAAATTCTGTATTTTTTGCAAAACTTTAATTTGTTTTGGATAATGTCCATTTTCTTCGCAAAATTTTCGCATTATTTTTTCGAGAAATTTTCGACGCATTATTTTTTTAACGAAGCTTTTGCATTTTTCGCAAAATTTTCGCATTTTTCGTGAGCAAAGCAAATGCCATAATGAAGCGAAATGGTCGCGAAATTTTTTTGGCGAAAAATGCAAAATTTTCGCTGGAAACCCTAGCTATAGAGCAAATGGTTAATAGAGCAAATGGCCACAGAGCAAATGGAAATAGAGCAGATGTCGTAGCGCCAAAAAAATTAATTACTTAAGACTAAAAAACTAGATTTTTAACTTATCACACATTTAAGATAGTGGTTTTGCCTGTTTTGTATTATGTTTTCTTTCCCTAGCTTAAGCTTAAGTGCTACTGAAAAGCTATTTGTATCAAAACAAAAAAATGGAGGTATAATAATTGATGTGGATTGTAGAGTTTTCAGTTAAACTATTAAAAAATGTATTAATCATAAATATAGCCAATACTTTTTTTAATATACAGGGAAAGTAAAGGATGTAAATGCCTGTAAAGACCCAGAAAAGTTTAATCATGAAATTCGTCAGTTTTCCCCAAACAAAAATTCGGAAAACTTCCTGCAAGCTTGAGGATGAGTTCAAACAGCTTTTCCTAAGCCTGGCCAAATTTCCTATAAAATTTTAATTTGTCTCCATGTTACATTTTGCTGTACAATGGTTCATTAGAATCATATAATCTAGATTAAAAAAGGAAGGGAAAAGCTTCTTAAAATATAAAAAAAAATTAAAACCATCATTTTACAAGACAGGATAGAAATAAAACTTCCCAAATAAGTCTGTCAGAAAGCACTCGATTTTTTTGTTCATTTGAACTATTTTATGTTAATTGAACTATTTTATGTTTATTTGAACTATTTTATGTTCATTTGATCTATTTTATCGTTAATTTGAACTGTTTTATGTTCATTTGAACTATTTGATGTTCATTTGAACTGTTTTATGTTCATTTGAACTATTTTATGTTCATTTGAAATATTTCTTTGTGCTGCGCAGTTTCTATTTTATCTATGTATCTATTTTATTTTTTCATTAATTACCTCAATTGAATTAATTAATTCTTCAGTTTAAATTATGGAAAGAAATATAAAATCTATCACATTGTATAGGGCGGGGGAAATTTATCCCTTGCCCCCCCCTCTCTATCCTGTATACGCCCCTGTGAGGAAAAACGACATTTGTAAACACTTAGGACGAATCAGAATGTCGTCGTTTAAATTATTTTCTTTTTAATTCCTCCAAACCCAACCCATCTCACTTCAGTTAGAATTAAGTATTGAAGGGAGCAGGATTCAGGAAATGCAAAGGTGGGGCGCACCTAAACACATATATGTTAATACGCTACTACTGAACTAAACAGTCAGGTGGAGAAAGGTGGGGTGGGGGTTGCTTCACGCTTCAATAAGCAATTTTTACAGTTGAGATACTTTTTTATCTTCAGTTGCAGTACTCGAGCAGTGTGTCAGTTGACGTCAGATCTGTTATTGTTTGACATAAAAATTCATTAATTCCTATTTATAATTTTATATATTTTATAAACACAAATTATGAGCAGTTTTCTTGGTAATTTCCTAGTATACGATTTTTGGACCCCCCCCCCTCCTATCAATTTTGTACATGGGTGTTACAGGAAGTTTCTTAACTTAACCTAACCCGTGACCGCAGCGCTCGGCCCCCTAGCCCATCCTAGCCGCAGCGCTCGGCCCAGAAAGTATCTTAACCTAACCTAACCCTAAATAACAAAAAAATAAATAATAATAAATTTGCTGAAAAATAAATGGTCATGTACAAAATTGATAGGAGGGGGGGGGTCCAAAAATCGTATACTAGGACAGACCCGTTTTCTTCATTTTTTAAGGCATCTAAATAACTTATTATCAGAATGTAAATAATATATTTAGAGATTGCTTCCTTTGGAAGGCACTCAACACAGACGACCCAGACAATTCGTCTGTAAATCTAGATCATGACTCATAGTATATTGACATATATGTATTGTACAGTGTACACCGAATTCACCTAAATTTTTGTAAAAGTGTGTGTGTGGGGGGAGTGGAGGGATTAAATCTTAAATTCGGAAGTTTTTGGACCCCCCCCCCCTTCTATCAATTTTGTACATTGATCTTAAATGTAAGACATGGGGCCGCAGCTCTCGGTCCCCTAGCCTGTCCTAGCCGCAGCGCTCGGCCCAGAAAGTGTCGTTAACTTAACCTAACCCGTGGCCGCAGCGCTCGACCCAGAAAGTGTCTTAATCTAGCCTAACCCTAAATAAATACTAATATTTAATTGAAAATAGTTGTCATGTACAAAATTGATAGGAGGATGTACAAAATTGATAGGAGGGGGGAGGGGGTCTACAAAAATTGCTCTCTAGGACAGACCCAAACCTTTTAAGAAAAAATAATCTGTAATTTCCTAGATTACGATTTTTGACGTCCCCCCCCCCTCCAGCCCCTCCCCCTTCTATCAATTTTGTACACTTAAGCTTGTATTTTACAAATGGTCAAAGTGCGCGGCTCCCTAGTCTGTCCTGTCTACGGCGCTCGGCCCCAAGTCTGTCCTATCTACGGCGCTCGGCCTCCTAGCCTGTCCTATCTACGGCGCTCTGCTCCCTAGCCTGGCAGGGCCGCAGCGCTCGGCCTAGAAATTGTCATTACCTAACTCAAATAAATAATAATTTTTATGTAAAATAGTTGGGTCATGCACAAAATTTATAGGAGGGGGGGGGTCCAAAAATTGTTCTTGACAGACCCGGCCAAATGATTATGATTATGTAAATTTTTGAACGAACTTTTTAAATTCAGTCTTAAAAATGAGGGGCGTACGAGAGCTGTAACGTTGGGGAGGGACCAGCACTCCGCACTTTTTGCTAATACAATTTTTGCACCCCATAGAAGNTTAGAAAAGAAAAATATTGATTTTTTTTTATCTACTTAAAGAATCTTTTATCTTTCATATATAATCTAACCCAAACAAACCCTGTTTGTTGATTATATATCAGGGGTGCATTTTTTTTGGAAAATCTTTGAAATTTTTGAGTGAACAAATCAAAAAGGAAAAAAAAACATTACTTTTGATGTCCAGTCTCTCCCCTCTTCAAACATTTTTTCTCCAGAATTTATGTTTGTTTGCTGGTTAACCAAACAATTTTTAGTTTAATTACAGAATTTTTGGGTAAATACATTTGATAAGGATAAAAACTTGCCATTGTGGTCCAATTCTTTAATTTTCACAAAAAATTTTTTTTTTTAATTCAAGTTAGGTTTGTTTGGTACTATTGGCACATTTACTTTTTTGATAAAAAGTAAAACAAAGAAAGCGCCATAAAAATTTTTAAGGTTTCTCTTGCTAAATATTTGCTAAAAATTTTAAAAAATTAGACTAGGAGGATGTCCTCCTCTATCCAGTAATGCCCAAGAGTTTAGTTAAATTATGTTTTAGATATTATTTTTTTTCTTATAGAAAATATCTTGAAAATGATGAACATCTTTTTCCTAAACTTAACTTATATTTTTAAATTTTTCTCTAGACCTATTTTTACTTATTACAAAAGTAGATACACGTGGAATATTTCCTTCAAGGATGCATAATATGCATTTAAGGAACAGTCGTCATAAGGTTAGAAGGACTAATCGATTTACATCAATATATTTTTGAAACCTTAATCTGATCAATAATGTGGAATGTAAGACTTGAAAAAGTGTTAGTTTTCAAAATCAAAAACCAGAGTCCTAATTTAATGAATTTGAGCCGCGTCTCAAATCCGCCAAAACCCGATTTCAATTGAGTGCAGGCTTGAACTTTGAATACGATTTTATGGGGAAGCAACCAGTTTTGTGCTGCGGCTCAAATTTTTTTAATTCTGCCTCTGGATATACAATTTGATCTCGGTGAGACAAGGGTACCATTGTGAACAGTACATATCATAGAGGCCAGAGGGTCACTTGAAATTACGTTTACATGTCCTGCATGGAAAAAATAACTAAAATTAAATCTGTCCATTATTTTCAGAAATTAAATGATGATATATTACAGCTGAAGAATGGTGGATAATCTAGGTAAGAATTATATTTGCTCTTAAACATAATATACTGATAATTTTTTTACGTTAAGTCCTATTTGTTGAGCAATTTTGATTTATAGGAGGGGTTTAAATTTTCAAGAAATACCCCCCCCCGCGCCACGGGGAAATGATTTTGGATGCTGGGAGGGGGGGGGGGGTAAAATTGAACATCTGATAGCAAGTTTTTTCATCCTAGTAGATATTATTCACCCTAAAATCAATTCAATTCCCTTAAAAAAAATTGTTCTCCCAAATTCAGCGAATAAAATCAAAAATGCGCAAACATAACTACCACCTTAATTTTCAACAGTTGGGGAGGAGGGACATTATAAATATTTGGTTAAATAGAATCAAATAAGATAAAAAAAAACTTCATAAACCATTGCCTCTTATTATACACCCCTGGGTGTTCTAATAATCCAAATGCATAATCTGTATAAACGTATATATCAGCTGTAAAAGCTTTAGAGGGAGTTTCTATAGAGTGTATATCCTGTATCCGCAATACCTTCATTAGTAACGGTCTTATATTATGGAAGGTAGAGTTTGAAATTTTTAATATTAATGTTTGAAATTTTAAACTGTAGTGTACACTGTACAGTAGTGTAGTGTAAGCTGTACTACTCTTAACAGAACTGTACACTGTAATAAGTTCTTAACAGAACAAGCTTTTAAATAGTTAAATTATTTTACTGTACTGACATATAGAGTTCTTTTAATATTTTTTTTTTAAACGGTCAAAAATGATTTGGATTACATATAAATTGCTAACAGTAAAAGCTTTAAAAGCTTTATTTAATAAAAATTATTAACTGTACTTTGAATATTTTTTTTTAATTTTAAAAAATTATTCATTTTTCTTAAAAAATTCACAAGTGTGTTTGTCTTATCCGTTCTTCTTGCAGAAATTGATAAAGAGAATTAATACTACAATTTGATAAACTGAAAACGTTTATTTTATAACCGTAGTTTCTGAACGATCAGTCTTCCCTCTTTTATAAAATAATATTTTTAAACGGTCATCGCGGTTTAAATAATTTTTTTTTGTGAGAAATAAATGACTTTTGTTTCAAAACGTTTAGAAAAGGTTCAAGTCAGAATTGTCTCGCCAAACTTCCCCTAACCCCCTCGGTTTCGGGATAATCCCTTTATCTTTTCATTTACAATGTTTGATTAATCACTCATCTTGAATGAAAAAGATATTTTGTACTAATAATAAGATATCTGTTGAACAGGACGTATTCAAATGTAAACAAAGAAATTGAGCTTCTTTTTGTTTAAAAGTAAATTTTCATCAGGGATGAAATCTTCAGATTCAAAAAAGTCGTCTTCATTGAATTGATTTAATTGCATTGATCCTCTTGGATAACGAGATCAATTGTTCAATATTAGCATGATCCACATAGTTTCCGATCTCTGGATAAAGATCAAAGTGAAATAACTTTGACGAATTAAGGACCCGTTTTTTTCCGGCTTTTCAAACCATTTACTAAAAAAAATATCTATTTTGCCCTAATTTATTCATTTAAGTCGAAACAAAAACCTTAAAAGTTCCTTGATCTAATATATCATTTAGTAAAAATGGGGGGGGGGGGAGTGAAGCAACAACGGTTATATAATCATTTTGTTAGGCATCTGTAATATGCAATTGATATTCTCAGTGTAATCATCTTTAATTTTTTCTACGCAGCATTTTAACTATTCATTATCGACATATATTCACACTTGTTCCAGAAATATATCTACAAGATTATATACTGGAGACGGGGAGGGGGGTGGGGGATAGGAGGACAATGCCCCCAAAATATATATTTTTTTTTTTTCTATAATTCCACAAATGAAACTATTTTTCCCTCTCCTAAGCGCGTTAAAGGGGGAGATTTAATTGTTGCCCTTCGCGCGGTGTTCTTCCCACACATGGAGTGAATTCTGTGTATCCGTCCTGGTAAATGCACAAGATCAAGATCAGGAGTGAATCCTGAGTATCCGTCCTGGTAAATCCACTAAACTAAGATCAAGATCAGGAGTGAATCCTGAGTATCCGTCCTGGTAAATGCACCAAACTAAGATCGAGATCAAGACTTTTAAATTGTACATTTTATTTTAAATCGTTTTTAACACGTTTTTAACCCTTCCCTTTAATCTTTGTGATTCGCTTTTGGAGATTTTGAGATTTTGAATATATTTGACTAAAGGTTATTTAAGTTTATATTTTTTACTTTCCCGTTAACTTCCTGGGCTTGTTATTGATTAATAATGCGTGGTCCATAAACACAAGTGTTCCGTTCAAGGCCTTACTTCCATTCAGTTTATTTGTATAGAGAACTAGTAGAGGATAGGACGGATTCTTCTCATGTTCTCCAAGTAGGGACGGGAGACGAGTTCAAACGGAAGAGATTTCTCTCCGCCCCGAGATGGGTGATTCACTATATTTAAATGGTGTTACAGTGAACTCTGAGGCGAATGCGCGGAGGATAGGACTTGTGGAGGGATGCTTTGGATCTGCTGGTCAACCTTTAGCTGTCCCAGGTCAGATAATAAGCTAATTACAGTGTTCAGGGACTGTAAGCGTAATTTTAAGTGACCATCGAGCACAGAGATCTCTTTGTGAAAATCAAAATCTGCTGAAAACCGCTTGAATTCAGCTGTAAAGTTATAAATCCGATGTACGCAGCGTATAGAGTTGAACTGAACACAGCTAGTACGTTATAAATTCAAAGAAAACCCTTTTTTTTCTTCCCATGTAAAGTTTTGAAATATTGATATATTTAAAATACTAGGCAACTTCTATTTCAATTGTAAACATGTTCTCTTTGTGTACATTGTAAAAAAAAAACAGAAAAAGTTCGCGGATTTCATCAAAAAATTTCGTGGATTTTAAAAAATTTCCAAATATTCAATAAAAATCAAATTTTGATGGAGGCATATTTTAGAATTTTGATCATTCATAAACCTTCCCTGGTGCCACGTAAGGTCCCACACAAAATTTGAGCCTGACCGGTTCAGCCGTTTTGACGTTTATGACGATCTTTCTTTCATTTCATATAACAGCTTGCAAACAAAGTGTTCAGCAAAGCGTTCCTGTAGATTAACGAGGAGTAAGTTAGAAAACCTTGAGGTTTAAAAAGTACTGTTGTGAATCTGACACCACTCTTCAAATGGAGGGTCACTTGAAATTACGCCTGGAGTCCCTTCAAGGGTGGTCTATGGTTGTAAAGTGAAGTTCAGGTTGAACTAAGCCATGGAGATTTTATGAGAGAAGGTTAAAGTAGAGCTTCTATTGACTAATAGTATCTTGATATTTTGTATTGTGGTGAACACATTAAGAATGGTTTTCGAAAAAAAAAATGTAATGTTTATTTTTTTGGTCATATTAGATTGAAGCGTTTTATCTCTGTAGCGTTTTGTGAGTGTAGAGTGTAGAGAGTGTAAAGGTAACCCATTTTTTATAGTATAAGGATGATTTTAGATAATAATTAGCGGTTTGATGTGTTATAAGAACTTTTGAAGAATAAGGAATGATAACACGATTTTTATCTCTAATAATATTCTGTATACCCTGAGTAGGACGGGTCCTGGTCGGAGAAGGAGTCCTAACTAAAGCTTGCAGAAAGAAACCTAAGCCTCGTCAGTTCTTCTTGTTCAATGATCTCCTGGTGTACGGGAACATTATCATTAACAAGAAGAAATATAACAAGCAACACATCATACCTTTAGAAGAGGTAATTATACCCCCGCGTCGTCCTAAATTCAGTTTTATAAATCCTTTACTAAATATGAGAGAAAGAAATATTTTTCAAAAAAAAAATAATTTCTTTGGGGAGATGCAGGGGGAAAACTATTTTTTATTTATTGTTACTGAACTTATACTTGATCCACAAAAGAAAAATGGTCGTAAAAATAATGAAAATTAACGTGAAAAAATTGATGAAAAATATCTGGATCATCTCGAATGGGATAATTTTGGAAATATAAAAACCTTTCTGGTATAATTTCCCGACTATGCAGGGCAAAAACTATTAGAAGCGTACACTTACTTTTTGTTCTCAATTCATGTTAAATTAATTAAGTTGTAATCTTAATTTTCTTAGTCTAAAAACTGTTGTGTAAAAATAAGATCATCAGTGCTTAGGATCCATTTCAGTTTGATGCGGGTCCTCGGATCCTAGATTCGCCCTGGAAAAAAATGGATCCGATTCCTGATCAAGTTCATTAACATTTCTTTAAGCCCGATTTTATAACAAAAGAAGTTTCCAAGGATTTTTTCGCTTATTTTTATGCAAAAACTTTATCGACCATTTAGAGATACGGAAACTTTTAAAAATATGTTTTCAACAGTTCAAATTCGGATTGTGATTGATATTTTGCCCCTCGGATCCGGATCTAGAGCTAGGAAGCCAAAATGTTGCGGATCCAACGGATCCGGATCCAAAACACTGATATAAAATATGTTTAAATGCAACCTTTGCAGTTTTAAGATAATGTCACGAGTTTCTTTTTCCATGAAACAATTTATTTATTTATTTCATTAATTGCCTTTAAAAAGTTTTAATTATTTAACATTTTGAAGGTTAAATTAAAATCTGTGGAAGATGAGGTCCATTTTAAAAATGGCTGGTTGATCTGTACACGTGGAAAATCCTTTGCAGTTTACGCGGCAACTGCGTCGGAGAAACAGGAGTGGATGGCGCATATTAATAAAGTAAGAAAATATTTATTGTCGTCTTTGTTTTTCTTTAAATTACGAAACGTCCTCTTCATTAGTAAATGTTTCAACTGCTAAATGTGTTTTATGCCTCTTTTTATAGATTAAATATATGCAATTAGGAATCATCTTGCAACATTTTATAATTAAGAGAGAATTTTTCTACTGTTTACATGGTTACATGGTTACATGGTTACATGGTTACATGGTTACATGGTATTTTATACAGTCTTATGAAGTTATGAATCTCATAACATTGATATGGACGAGTTGAGATATGGACGAGTTGAGATATGGACGAGTTGAGATTTTTCAATATTTTCTTTTTTTACTTCTTAGGAGGACTGTAAGCGTAATTTCAATTGAACCTTCATTAGTTGAGTGGTATGTCCGATTCAAAACAGTACCCTTAAAAGCTTTGTGTGATAAAGAAGGAAAAACATATTTGTGCTTTTGTGAATTTTCAAGGGTAACCATGTTTAACCGGGTATGCCCCTCTTTAAATGGAGGGTCACTTGAAATTACAGTGACATTTTTATGTTTGCTATGTACTTTTTAACTTGTGAGTTATAGTTTGACCTATGAGTTGAACTGTTTGACCCATAGGTTTTATTGTTTAACCCATAAGGTGTACTGTTTGACCCATACGTTGTACTGTTTGACCTTTGAGTTGAACTTTTTGACCTTTGGGTTGTACTGTTTGACCGTTGAGTTGTCCTGTTTGACCGTTGAGTTGTCCTGTTTGACCTATGAGTTGTACTGTTTTTGTATTGTTTGACCTGTGAGTTGTACTGTTTGACCGTTGAGTTGTACTGTTTTTGTACTGTTTGACCGTTGAGTTGTACTGTTTTTGTACTGTTTGACCTGTGAGTTGTCCTGTTTGACCTATGAGTTGTACTGTTTTTGTACTGTTTGACCTGTGAGTTGTACTGTTTGACCGTTGAGTTGTACTGTATAGTGTATAAACGACCTGCTGAAGAAGTCTGGTAAGAAAGCGTCTGCTGAGCATGCTGCAGTCTGGATACCAGACTCGGAGGCAAACACCTGTATGCACTGTAAACGGGTTCAGTTCACACTAGTTAACAGAAGGCATCATTGCAGGTACATCCAGTTTGGTTTCATTCGGGTGTTTTCTGGATGTATAATTTTAAGAATTAACCCCCTCCCCTACCATAGCTTGGGTTTTATTCGGGTGATAAATGGGATATTTATCCTGATAATCATTCTATTTCCCTAAAATCCATTAATTTCTCCCAGTTTAGCGGAGTGAAGCCTTTAAAATATATTCCGCGCTTACCTTCTGGGGGGAAAATTATTGAACATTACTACTAACTAATTTGTACTCGCTAGACATTTTGTTAGAAACAAAATTTTCTAACAAACTATTGAACTTTGTTAATCTAGAAAAAGAGATCGTTTAACTTTCAAATGTATTGTGTTTTTTTTTTTATTAATTTAAGCTTTTTAAGTAATAATTATATTGATTGATTGTTTAGAAAATGTGGATTGGTTGTCTGTAACGGTTGTTCCTCTCGTCGTATTCTTCTCCCAGCCCAATCCTCTAAACCTCTCCGGGTCTGCAGTTCATGCTTTGACGAGTTTTCAAAAACCGCCAGCAGTGCAGACTTAACATCAAAAGGTGAAATCTCACTAAAACTAAACTAATTTTAAAACTGTAAACGCTATTTTAAGCAACCCTCCATTTCTTTAGTGCCCCGTCCGATTTATTACACCTTCCTTTGATCAAGGGTAACTTAGAAATTCTTATTTTTCTCTCTGAAAATTTGTTATTATTTTATGTCATGTCTTGCGGATTTATTGTCCTGAGAAAATAAAGCTAATTTATTGATTTATAGACACGTTATGGTTTCTCAGATTTTGAGGTTTTAATGTTGTTGTAAATCGGACATGGCAATGTTTAAAATTACGTCTATAATCCTATTAATATTGCTTAAAGTATACGAAAATATGATGAAATCTGACCTCCGCGCCACCCTGCGACAATTAAAGAAACTACCAAAACCAAAGTTGCGCGAGCTGATGGCGCGTCGAGTGGATAGCGGCGGGCCGGTACCGCTCTGGTGGGACAGCTTTGACGAATCAGCTGAGTTTGGTTTGGAGCCTGCTGGGCTGGTCGAGCAGGCAGCTGGAGAAAAAGCATTAGATGTGGATGATATCGACGCTTTAGAGAAGGAACTGGAGAGGGTGAAACAGCTGTTTTCTGAGGGTTAGAAACATTCGTCGGGATTTAAATTTTCAGGCGTTTTAATTTGGTTTATCATTGGGTATTATCATATATCTATACATATATCCTTTTATTTTTTATTATCTACTTTCAGGCGTTTTAGATCATTGGGTATTCTTTAAATATTTATATCCTTTTTATTTTTTGTTTTATTTTCCTAGTCTAGAAATGTTTTCTGTCATTTTATTTTTTTATTTTATTTAATCACCTTTTTATTTGAAGTTTTCCTTTTTTCGGATTTTTCAGGCCTTACCTGGGAATTTGCAAACCTTTTTAAGTCTTGTTTGATAAAGATTAAAAACCCCGTTAGTATTTATTTGGGAAAAGTTTACTTTTATTAATATAGGCTTTTGTTTTGGGGGATTTTTAGAAGTTTTTTTATATACAGAGTAAAGTGCGCATTTATAATAATTTTTAGTTTTTTTCTTTTTCTTTTTAAATAAAAGCCGTTAGCACCACGATTACATAACTTTATTAGACTTATACAAGTAATTAATTGACAGCAAGTAATAAACAGCAAATATTTGTGAACAAATTATCTAGATATGAGCTTTGATTTACTGATGACAAAACTATTTTTATATTCTTTTCTGAGCCTTGAGACCATAGCTCGCGAAACAAAATCTTAGCTTTTAAATTAAAAATCATACAACATTTTTAATCAAACTTACTAGTCATATGGAAATAAAATATGAAGAAATATATTTTATAAAAGAGATTTATGTTTTGTACAATTTTGCTTTTATTCATGATAACTCGTTTGTTGTCCAATTTGGATCTGTAGGTATTGAGTAACGTCAACCTTAGTTTTATCATAATTACGCACATAGCGCACTTTACTTCCCCATTTTTATTAAGTTTTTTATCTTTGCATGTTTTATGATAAATATATATTTTCCAAAATGGGGGAAATAGAAATTGAAAATTTGAGGGAAAGTTTGTTTTATACAACAAAAAATTAATAAAAGAAATTCAAGAATTTAGTTGACGATTTAATTTTTTCCAATGTTAGCATTTGGAACTGGGATAAAAAATCATAGAAGATCTGCAGGATATAAACTATAGTGAGAACCAGAAAACTGTAGAATAGGAAGACGACATTAGAGTAATGCTGAAGTGAATTTGATAATGTTACAAAGCAAACCGGTTTTAATAGTAATTTATTATTTATTTATTAACTGAAATAAGTCTCTTTACATCGCAAAATTGCTGTGTTTCATGTCCATTGGACTATCTAAAGTCCTAACTATAGTCTAAAAAATGTTAAACTATTTCAGAGTTTTGTGGTTCTGGCTGTATATATCCTTGATCCTCATATAATTTGACCTTATGTTGAACTTATAAATATTCAGAATCCAAGGGAACAGATTCTTCTGGAGAAGAGGATTCAGATGATGAAGAATCAAACGGAGCCATTCAGGTCAGTTGATCGAGGGTCAAGGTCATGGGTAGTAATAGGTCAGATCAGTTGAGGTTAATGGTAGTTAGAGGTCAGATCAGTTGAGGTTAATGGTAGTTAGAGGTCAGGTCAGTTGAGGTTAATGGTAGTTAAAGGTCAGGTCAGTTGAGGTTAATGGTAGTTAGAGGTCAGGTCAGTTGAGGTTAATGGTAGTTAGAGGTCAGGTCAGTTGAGGTTTATGGTAGTTAGAGGTCAGGTCAGTTGAGGTTAATTGTAGTTTGAGGTCAATGGTAGTTTGAGGTCAGTTAAGTTGAGGTTAATGGTAGTTTGAGGTCAGTTAAGTTGAGATTAATGGTAGTTAAAGGTTAGGTCTGTTGAGGTTCAAGGTCAAGGGTAGTTAGAGGTCAGGTCAGTTAAGGGTGAAGGTCAAGGGTAGTTAGAGGTCAGGTCAGTTGAGGTTCAAGGTCATGGTTAGAGATCAGATCAGTTTAGGTTCAAGGTCATAGTTAAAGGTCAGGTCAGTTGAAGTTTAAGGGCAGTTGGAGGTCAGGTCAATTACGGGTCAAGGTCAAGGGTAGTAAAAGATCAGGTCATTAGGGGTCAATATTAAGAGGTCTGGGGAGCTTAGTTTAAGTGTCAGGAGAGCTAGGGTTCAGGGTTAGGACAGCTACAGTCAAAGATTAAAACAGCTTGGTCTAGGGTAAGGACAGCCGGAGTCATGACCTCTAGGCTATATTGAAGTCAATTATGATTGAGATGCGTAGGTCGAGATCAAATGATTAATATTTGACATTTTGAAATGATGATAATCTTTCATGGAGTGTCCAGGGAATAGGAAATTTAATATAAAAAAAAATTGGTTACCCTTACCCAACCCTGGAGAAGGATTGTGTTCCAGGGTGAGGAATCTCCAGACCTAGAATGGGCTGGGAGCCCTGGTATCTCCAGACCACCTAGATCTTCTAATAGATTTACATTATGTAAGCCCTGAACCCAGAATGGGACTAACCCTGGGAGTTTGCATCCTGTTGATTGTGTCTCAAGAGTTAATAATATCCAAATCTTGTTTTTCCTTTCTCCTATAGCATGAATTACCATAATGCTGGGTAAGGTATACTCTGCTTTTAAAATACCATATCTCAAGATAATATTGTGGAAAGGTGTATAATATCTGCTTTTTAACATTTGGCTCATTTAACCTGAATCATAGATAGTAGTAGACTAACCCTGTGCGATTTTTCTTTTGAGAAGAAAACTAGGACATTTCTTTACTAATCCATACTGTATACTTACAGAAGCCATAGTTTAGATTTGTTTTAAAGAAATTAATCCAAGAATATTTTACGAACACTTAGGGTAAGAGAATTAAAACCAGATTGGAGTTTGTTTTTGGTGCACAATATATTATTCAGTTTAACACATAACTTCGAAGACATCGAAAGAATTTATAAAATGTCGTCTTGACAATTGTTCAACAAGGTTATGCTATTATATTTGAATCTCAGTAATNACTAAGCTTTATTTTGTAAGGTTCAAATCATATTTTATAAACCCATTTTAAAAGAAAATATTTTATATAAAAGAAAATAAAAAGAAAAAATATTTTATATTAAAGAAATTATTTTTGATAATTAAAATATCAAGCAAGAGAAAATAACTTTAATTATTTATAAGACTACTTTTAGCTAACAGTGCCAGTTAATGAATGTGTGATATAACAGAATATTTATATTTGTTTTTATACAAAAAAATCATGATGAATATTTCAGTATAATTTTCACTTTTTTCCACCATGAACTTGTTTTGTCAGACTCTGGATAATTTGTTCGCTTATACAACATATAGCAGAAAGGTCTCTAATTGGTAGTTTTATGTTGAAAGGATGTTTTAGTATCTTGCTTTTTGAGACCGAATTTTAAGAATTTGAGCCGCATCTCAAATTTGAGACGTGGCTAAAACATGGTTCGTTCCACTTAGAATTATTTTTAGTGTTCCAAGATTTGATCTGTCGCTCAATTGGAACCGGTTTTTGTAGGTTCAGCGACGCTTTTTTTTCTTTAAATTCGGCCTCTGATTGGTTTTAAACACACTAAATAAACCGGCTTATAGGAGACCGAATTTATTAGCATCATGTTCTCTTACTGGTTGAATTTTCTGAATACACCAACCAATAGTAGACTATTTGTTCGTAGCATACTCTTTGATTGGTTAAACTCACTTTAAAAAAACCTCCAATAGGAGACGGGATTTATTTGTAGCTTAGTTTCTGATTGGTTGAATACACTAAATAAACCGACCAATAGGAGACCTGGATTCTTTGCACTTAAATTTATTTTTTATTTTCTTAACAGTCTGCTTTGATACAGAGATAAATGTATATTTATAATTAAATAGTGCCAATCTTATCATTTTCTAATAAAGTGTATTCATTATTTTGTTTTATTTTTTTAGATCAAATGGGCCCTGCTAAAATTGCTGCATTCAATTGTCAACCTACTTTGCACATGCATTTTCTATATGTGGTCTGCAGTTTTATAATTGTGTTCAGATTGTGACTTATATAATAAAACCAAATTGTGTTCAGATTGTGACTTATATAATAAAACCAAATTGTCGCAGAAGTACAATAAAAGCAGACCACATTTTAGAAATGGCAGCAAATGGATAATTTAAGAATAATTCAAAAATTTTACGTTAAAATGAATGTCGCAAATGTTTTGACGGATCAAAACGACATTTTTTGTCATTTAATTACCGTTTCGTGGTACTCAAACAGACAAAGCAGGTATAGTGCGACCCAACAGTGTATTCAAGCCTTTATTTTACAAGTTCCTGCTTTTCTCGGCACTTCGTACTTTTGTTCCAGTGAAAAACTTTATTATTATTTTTTGTCTCGTTTATTTTCCTTTTTTAACCTCCTTGTAAAAACTTTTGGGTCTGTAAATATGCCAAACATTAAATTTAGTGCTTCGTATGGATAGTTATTATCCATGCAACTAGTGATTTGACTATTTTATTATGGCTCATCTTTCAAACCTTTAATAACTCTTTAGTAATTAAACCATTCTCCTTCTTCTTGAGACACATAAACCTAGGAAGAACATTTTAGGAAAGTTATTTAAGAATAAGAGGTTTTTATAAATTCTCGGAGGAGAAATGAAGTTAGGTGAGCCTGTTGTGAGCCATGATAACCCAGGAGCTGCAGACCACAGCAGTGTAGTGTTTGAATGTTTTGTTTTATCCAGGGAGTAAGGAATAGAAGGGAGATATAACTGACGCGGTTCGCCCTACCATAAGATTATACATGCTTCGCAGACGGGTACTCTTTATAAGAAATATTCAGGGCAGGTTATTGTNAGAAGGGAGATATAACTGACGCGGTTCGCCCTATCATATGATTATACATGCTTCGCAGACGGGTACTCTTTATAAGAAATATTCAGGGCAGGTTATTGTATACACGGTAATTGTACATCAAACAAATATTTCTTATTCAAATGTAGTACTGTCTGCAAAGCATGTGTAATCATATGGTAGGGCGTACCGCGTCAGTTGTATCTCCTTTCTTTTCCTTACTCCCTGGTTTTATCCAATCCTGTCCATAAGCTAATAGCTTTACTAGTTAGTTAATAAATCACTTATGTAAAATAGGTCTGTTTACACTGCACAATTGCTGTGCCTCATGTTCATCATGGACTGTTCAAAGTCATAACTTGAGTCTGAAAGTCGACATCCTATTCCTGAGTTTTCTGGTTATCACTGTAGTAACTTTATATAAACTTTGATAATGATTATCTTGAGACCCAAACAGGAAACAAGGAAGTTTGAATATAATTATCTTTGCAAGATGTTCTATCTAACTTTAAAAATGTTTACGAGTAGATCCAAAAAACATGAGTTTTCTCAAAAAGATCTCGATGAAAAAGCTAGAATAATAATTTTTCTCACCCACCTTTTTTCTGAGGTATTTTCAAAGAAAGTATTTATTAATGTTTGTTTCAAAAGTCTTTGTTTTGTTCAGGCACACCGTGATTCCCGTGATCTGCTAGTGTATCATGGATTAAAAATTCTTGTGATTAAGGTACATAGAGTAGATTTATCCTACTCTAGTTAGACCCTAAATTAATTTATGCAATTTATATGTAAACGACACATGGATTAAACTCGTCCTGCGAATAGTGTGAGTTCAGGAAGAATTAAAGCATTCATGTGCTGGAGGTGGTTAGAGTGAGTTCGCCCTGTTAAATTGACTCTAGGATGAATTAAACCATTTCTGTCTTGGTAGCACTCGGTAGTTAACTCGTCCTGCTAGTGCTGCTAGTTAGGAAGGTTTGAACCATTTCTTTCCGATAAGTACCTAGAGTAAACTCGTCTGGTTAGCGTGACTCTAGGATGGATTAAATCATTTCTGTCTTTAATGTGCCTGGAGTAAATTCCTCCGGTTAATGAGACTCTGGTATGGATCAAACCATAAAAGTACCAGAGTAAACTCGTCCTGTTCGTTTGACTCTAGAATGGATTTAACAATTTGTTTTTTAAAGTCGTGGAGTAAACTCATCCTGCTAGTGTGACTCTAAGATAGATTAAACCATATTTCTGTATAAAAGTACCCAGAGTAAACTCATCCTGCTAGTGTGACTCTAGGATAGATTAAACCATATTTCTTTATAAAAGTACCCAGAGTAAACTCATCCTGCTAGTGTGACTCTAGGATAGATTAAACCATATTTCTGTATAAAAGTACCCAGAGTAAACTCATCCTAAAGTGTGACTCTAGGATAGATTAAACCATTTCTTTCTGATAAGTACCTAGAGTAAACTCGTCCGATTAGTGTGACTCTAGGATGGATTTAACAATTTGTCTTCTAAAGTCATGGAGTAAACTCATCCTGCTAGTGTGACTCTAAGATAGATAAAACCATATTTGTGTAATACAGAGCGTCCCATATCATATCAGATTATCTCCAATCTTTAACACCAAAATAAACCCTTAATATTCGAAAAACTTATCATTTTCCGCAAGAAAATTCTTATATAAGCCTTATATTATTTTTCAAAATGATTCATTCTAATTGAATTTTCTGATTAGTCGCGAAAATCGTAATTTAGACCCGTTCTTGGTCTAATATGATGTGGGACACCCTGTAAGTACCAAAAGTAAACTCGTCCTGTAGTTGTGACTCAAGGATGGATTAAACCCGTCTCTTCCAATTTCCTGAAACTCCTCTGGATCCGTCCCTGCAGCAATATCTCTCTCTCATGGATGGGATTTTTATACATTAAAATAATATATCACCCAATTTTCTTCCATAAAAATACAACTTTAGCAGTCATCGATTCAGAGCAAAATGCATTTAAATAAAAACTTCAAACATTTTGAATATTTTTAAATCTTATCATTTGGGGCTTTTCCCGAATTGTAAATTAACACAAATGTTTTTCATGTTTTATCCAAGATCTGAGTATATTTCAGATTTATGTTGTATCCAAGATCTGAGTATATTTTAGATTATTAGATCTTAGTATATCCCAGATTTATGTCGTATTGAATATTTAAGTTTATTTCAGATTTATGTTGTATCCAAGATCGTATATCCCAGATTTATGTCGTATTGAATATTTAAGTTTATTTCAGATTTATGTTGTATCCAAGATCTTAGTATATCCCAGATTTATGTCGTATTGAATATCTAAGTTTATTTCAGATTTATGTTTTATCCAAGATCTTAGTATATCCCAGATTCATGTCGTATTGAATATCTAAGTTTATTCCAGATTTATGTTGTATCCAAGATCTGAGTATATCCTAGAAAAGTGCAAAACCTCTACTATTTATCTTCTATTAAGCCCATGTAAACCAATCAATAAATTCCAAACGTGACATGAAGGCACAGGGTCTGCAGAGTCAAGAATATTTAGAGTGAAATGTCGAAAAAAGTTTAAACCCAACATTTTGTCTAGCCCCCCTAGAGAAGGGATAACTTTGATTTTCAGAGGGGATTCAGCCCCTAACAATATTAAGAGGAGATTCAGCCCCTAACAATATTCAGAGGGGATTCAGTCCCTAACAATATTGAGAGGAGATTCAGCTCCTTTAACAATATTCAGAGGAGATTCAGCTCCTTTACAATATTCAGAGGAGATTCAGCCCCTAACAATATTCAGAGGAGATTCAGCCCCTAACAATATTAAGAGGGGATTCAGCCCCTAACAATATTCAGAGGGGATTCAGCCCCTAACAATATTCAGAGGGGATTCAGCCCCTAACAATATTCAGAGGGGATTCAGCCCCTAACAATATTGAGAGGAGATTCAGCTCCTTTAACAATATTCAGAGGAGATTCAGCCCCTAACAATATTGAGAGGAGATTCAGCTCCTAACAATATTCAGAGGAGATTCAGCCCCTAACAATATTAAGAGGGGATTCAGATTGATAAAGTATATCTACAAAGAAATATAACTAATTAATTTAAAAGAAACTAAATTTTTCCATTATACAGGGCGTCCCAATAAACATGGGAATTCAGTGACGAATTCGATATCGTCTTTGTTATGAATTGGCATTGTAATACCTAGTTACAACAGCCATAATAATATTATGTCTGCTAGAATTTATTTTATGAAAAGGGTAAAAGACTGTAATGGCGTGTCTAATGTCTCCGCAAGATGAACAGTGAAGACGGCCAAGTTTACTCTGATTGTATACTGTAATTTTCTTGTTTTACTAAGTACAACCGTATATGCAGTCAAAACATAAACAAACTGTAAACATAGCAGACGAAAATCTTACGGATAGCTTTCTGCGTAGGTATCACTATACTAAATCAAAGAATTATTTTAAACGAAGATATCGAATTCGTCACTAAATTCCCATGTTTACTGGGACACCCTGTAGCTTCTTTTTACATTGAAATAAAATGGTAAGAATTCAATACGTTTTAAGATAGATAAACGGCAATATCTTTTATACATAGTTACTCAGATGATAGTTTAAAGGATAATGTTTGTGAATCAGATATTGCCTCTTTAAACGGAAAATTTCTTAAAATAAAATCTCCAGCTAGTCCCTTTTCCGAAAATTGAAAAACAGCATTTTTTCATATTTATTTATAGTTTATGCGTAATTGAATGAATTAACACAAAATTTAAAGTTTTTAGTGTAAAAACCTCGTATATATCTATGTAGTATATGTAAAATTTTTAACTCATATCTTTTATGCAAAAAAATTATATTAAGAAATGACGAAGTGGTTGGTACAAAATGCCAGGAAGGAAGTTTTGATGAAATTTCTATAATTTTCTCATCAAAGCTCATTTTTCCAATCAGAAAGGCATTAATGGAAGACTTGTTTTCAACAGGTGTCAATATTCTTCAAATTTTGCTGATATTTAAACTTTCTACAGAACTGGTATTACTTTGTTGATATCTCAGATTTTAAGTTGATATTACAGATTTTAAGTTGATATTACAGATTTTAAGTTGATATTACAGATTTTAAGTTGATATTACAGATTTTAAGCTGATATTACAGATTTTAAGCTGATATTACAGATTTTAAGCTGATATTACAGATTTTAAGTTGATATTACAGATTTTAAGCTGATAATACAGATTTTAAGCTAATATTTCAGATTCTTAGTTGACATTTAAGATTTTAGCCTGATATTACAGATTTTGTATTAAGATTTAAGATTTAAAGTTGAAAATACAAATTTTGAGCTGAAATTGCATATTTTAAGCTGATAATATAGAATTTAAGTTGTTATTACAGATTTTAGGCTGATATTATGGAATTAAAGTTGATATTAAAGATTTTAAGCTGATATAGCAGCTTTTTATTTGATATTTCATATGCTGATATTAAATATTTTTAGCTGACATTTAAGATTTTATGCTGATATTTCAGATTTTTAGAAGAAATTACAAAATGTTAGGTTAAATCACAAATTTTAAACTGAATTAATTAAGCTGAATTTGCATAATTTAGGCTGAATTTGCAAAATTTAAGCTGATATTACAGATTTTAAGTTGATATTACAGATTTTAAGTTAAAATTGTGGATTTTAAGCTTATATTTAAGAGTTTTGGTTGATATTACAATTTTAGGCTAAATTTACAAATTTAGGCAAATACTTAGATTTTAAGTTGATAGTAAAATTTTTTTAATTTTTAGGTGAAATTGTAAATTTTAAGCTGATAAAACAGATTTTGAGCTGATATTGTTTGTTTTCTAGCTGATCTTTTACATTTTTTACCTAAAAATTAAGATTTTCTGTTTTTTTTCGGTAGATATTGCAGATATAATAGATTAATCATACATATTTGCAGCCGGCTGATTGAATTGCTAGTTTTTAAGCATTCAAAAGAAAATTTAAATTATTAGATATTTTGAAGATTTCAATACATTTGAAGAACATTTCAGTTCTGTTCCAAGGATAAGGAAAAGTTTTTTCCGTTTTTTTTACCTATATCTGGGGTTCGGGAGCTGATTTGGGGCTTGAACTTGCACCGGATACTGGAGTTGGATTTAGATCCGTGCTTTCAGCTGACATCGGAGCTGGGTTCGGTTCTTCATTTGTACTGGTGATTGGAACAAGGTTCAATTCTGTACTTGTATTGGATATTGGTTCCTTATCTGTACTGTAACTAAGAGCAGGGGTTGGTTCTTTACTTGTACTTGATGTAGAAGCTTGTGTTGGTTTTGTACTTGTACTGGTAAAAGTAGCTGGGTTCAGCACTGCACTTGTACTGGATATTGTAGCAGGATTAAATTCTGTACTTGTATTGGATATTGTATCAGGGGTCGATCCTGTGCTTGTACTGGATATTAGGGTAGGATTCGATTCTGTACTTTTACGGGATATTGGATCAGGGTTCGATTCTTTGATTGTGCTGGATATCTGAGCCAAGTTCGTATCTTCACGAACCTGATCATTTGGAGAATTTTTCTCTTGAAAATCCATTTGTTTCGATTTTAAGTCATTTTCAAGATGGGAGACAGGAGAATGTTTGGTTTTAGTTGGAAACTGAGAAGCACCATGCTTGGATGGGTTAAGATCTTGTGATTTCTTCGGGTTGGAGTAATTATATGTATCCCGTTTTCTCCGTCCTGCCCCCGAGGGAGGACTGGATTCCACGCATAGAACTGCCAGAGCGTTGTTACAGTGTACCCTAATAAAATAAAGAAGCAGTAAGTTTTAAATTCTACCAGAAAACATCGAATATTTGTTTTTCATATTCTTTAAAGGATTATTATGAAATAGGCTTTCAGGACGCTTGGCGCCCATCTTTTATTTTAATTGTGAACGTTTTTTCTTTGTGTACATTTTAAAACAAAAATAAAAAAACTTCGTGGATTTTATCGAAAGATTTCTCAGATTTTCAAAATTGTATGGAAATCGAATTTTGTTCTAGGCTATTTTTTTAATTTTGATCATTTACAAACCTTCCATGGGGTCATTTGAGGTCCCAAAAAAAGGGCGGGATCGGTTTAGCCGTTTTGACGTTTATTGGATACTAACAAACAAACACCCACCAAGACAGATAAACAGACAAGAAAAGTATATTGATAGATAAAACGTGAAAATTAGTCGATTTTGACCGTTTTCCATGTTTTAGCTTCAAATAAAAGGAACTTTTATAATGTTAAACTAGATTTCTAACACACTAGAGTTGATTAAAAAATGGTTTGGGCATTGGAAATCAAACCTCTGTGGAGTAAGGAGGGATGAGGACGGATCTCCGATAGCATTCGCGAACCCGACCTCAAGGCTTGACTCCGAGTGCCAGCCTGAGCAGGTACCCGGAGGAGAAGATGCTGCAGGTCCACCCCCTCCTGCTGGCTCCCAACTTAATCCAGATCCATGCCAAACAGACTTCATTGGCCTTTATATATAAATATACAAACAATCAAAGGTCGAAACTTATGAATGGCAAGAGGTAGATGAAGTATTAAGGGTATTTATTGCTTTTCTTCTAACTTTGTTTTATGGATAAATAAAATTTTCAACTTTGCCGCACAAAGTTTTTGAAGAAGACTTGAGCTATTATCATGAATTAAAATTTTTTGAAAAGTTATGTTCTCTTGAAGAAAAAAATCAGGTTTAGTACTTACCATGTTGTATGGTTTAAAATATTTAATCCGGAGAAACTATAGATAGAATTCATTCCAAACACAGGCAGTCTAAAAATAGATAGGTTTTACTCCGGGAAGGACGGATAACTATAAATAATATAAACTAGGGAACAATCAGTTTTAAAAAAAAATCCTCTAGATATAACTCTGCAAAAAAATCTATGTTGATTTTTTATCGTTTATAAAACTTTAAATAGGATTAAAATATAAAGGTTTGTCTCTAGAGAGGATTTAAATCTAAATACTTATCTCTAGATAGGATTTAAACCTAAATACTTATCTCTAGATAGGATTAAAACCTGAATACTTATCTCTAGATAGGATTTAAACCTGAATACTTATCTCTAGATAGGATTTAAACCTAAATACTTATCTCTAGATAGGATTTAAACCTGCATACTTATCTCTAGAAAGAGTTTAAATTTGAAGGTTTATCTCTAAAGAATCTTTAATCTTATGGATATTTTTTAAAAAATCTTTCAAATCATATTTTAAACAACATTAAATCATGCTTAAATCATATAAAGGATTTGGTATTAACATTAAGTACTATGGGTTTATGAGCTAAATTAATGACTTGATTTTAATCTTAGATCCTTGAACTAAAATTGCATTTAGATATTTAGATACAATAATAATGTTCTAAGAATAGAAAACTTGGAGAAATATTCATAAAATAATCAAGATATATCCTAACTTCTTCAAGAATATTTATAGCTAAATCCCAAATTTGATAACATGACCTAAAGGAATTGAGTATGAGTATTTGCCACAAACTTAAATTTGTCTAATCTATGTCTTTGCAACCCAATGAATGCAATCCATTATATGGACAAAACAAAATTAAGTTTATGGCTAAGACTCAATTTCTTAGCTAAGCATAGAAAATATATCTCTAAGCTATGGAGGGAGTAGGAGGGTTAGTATATATTTAGAAACACATAAAGTTTTAGATTAAAACTTTGTAAATTTGTATGTCCCTGGCTTAGAAAACCATCAGATAAAAGAGTCCAAAGCTTATAAAATAAATCCCTTTAAGTATTCTATATGATCCATAATATCCATATGATCCAACATTATCCAATAGAATTAAATGCTTGGAAACTTTATGATTTATAAAATAGATCGACAAGCTTATATACTAAACTGCACTGAGAAATAATAGCAGGAAGGCAGGAAGAAGATAGAAAACAAGAAAGATACATTAGGATTGAAAGATTAAGAGAGAATTTGACCTTTTGATAAGAGGATGAAAGATAAATCTTGACATAATTACAAGCAGATCGAATACTGAATCAAATCTTGACAGGATGACAAGAAAATGGAAGATTAAATCAGATTTTGACCTATTGACAAGAAAATGGAAGATTAAATCAGATTTTGACATAATGACAAGAAAATGGAAGATTAAATCAGATATTGACAGATTGACAAGAAAATGGAAGATTAAATCAGGTATTGACATAATGACAAGAAAATGGAAGATTAAATCAGGTATTGACATAATGACAAAAAAATGGAAGATTAAATCAGATATTGACAGATTGACATGAAAATGGAAGATTAAATCAGATATTGAAAGATTGAAATGAAAATGGAAGATTTAATCAGATATTGACATAATGACAAGAAAATGGAAGATTAAATCAGATATTGACAGATTGACATGAAAATGGAAGATTAAATCAGATTTTGACAGATTGACAAGAAAATGGAAGATTAAATCAGATATTGACAGATTGACAAGAAAATGGAAGATTAAATCAGGTATTGACATAATGACAAGAAAATGGAAGATTAAATCAGGTATTGACATAATGACAAAAAAATGGAAGATTAAATCAGATATTGACAGATTGACATGAAAATGGAAGATTAAATCAGATATTGACATAATGACAAGAAAATGGAAGTTTAAATCAGATTTTGACAGATTGACATGAAAATGGAAGATTAAATCAGATTTTGACAGATTGACATGAAAATGGAAGATTAAATCAGATTTTGACAGATTGACATGAAAATGGAAGATTACATCAGATTTTGATCTATTGACAAGAAAATGGAAGAATAAATCAGATTTTGACATAATGACAAGGAAATGGAAGATTAAATCAGATTTTGACATAATGACAAGAAAATGGAAGATTAAATCAGATATTGACATATTGACAAGAAAATGGAAGATTAAATCAGATTTTGACATATTGACAAGAAAATGAAATTTTGAATAATATCTTGGTATTGAGACATGAAGTTAGAATAAATCATTAAGACACAGACTTTAGTCTGAAGAGGCGAAGAATATAGACGGATAAGAATAAATCGATATAAAACAAAGCCCCCTCCTCCCCCCTTGTTTGACCTCTGTTCGAGGAAAATATCTCTCCAGGTAGTGTAGAGGAGTTGACCCTTCAGGTTTACAACTGGTAGGTCTCTGTCTCCAAACCTATTTTTATATATTATATAATATACGTATCAATTTCTAATATTCGTGTCAGAATAAGGAGATCTTGTTCAAATTTCCAAATCTTAAATCAACTGCAAAAGAGAAATATCTCAAAGCTAGAAAAAATGATAAAAAGATCATCAAATTATAAAAGATCACAATTCAAAATGAACAATTTGAACACAACATCCAACATGTTTTATGTAAACATTTAAGTTTTTAAGTAATTATCAAACAGAGGAAATATAATTTCCTGAAACAGCATTAAATCAAACAATGATGTTTTGTTTAAATAAAACTGAAGAAATTCAAACCCAGGTAAACCTAGCATATATGTGTGTTTACCTAACCCTGGCAAACCTAGCATATATGTGTGTTTACCTAACCCTGGTAAAACTAGCATATATGTGTGTTTACCTAACCCTGGTAAACCTAGCATATATGTGTGTTTACCTAACCCTGGTAAACCTAGCATATATGTGTGTTTACCTAACCCTGGTAAACCTAGCATATATGTGTATTTACCTAACCCTGGTAAACCTAGCTATATTTACCTAACCCTGGTAAACCTAGCTATGTGTATTTACCTAACCCTGGTAAACCTAGCTATATTTACCTAACCCTGGTAATCCTAGCTATATTTACCTAACCCTGGTAAACCTAGCTATTTTTACCTAGCCCTGGTAAACCTAGCTATATTTATCTAACCCTGGTAAACCTAGCATATATGTGTATTTACCTAACCCTGGTAAACCTAGCTATATTTACCTAACTATAGATTCTAGATTCCCAAGTTCACTACTGAGGAAAGCTCTGAAGGTTCCATGCAATCCTGCTCGACTAGCCTGGGATGAACGATAAGAAAATATTTACAAAAATTATTTTTATTATATCACAAAGATCCCGAGTGGTATAAAATGTAACACCTATTTTATGTCTGAATCAACTTTAACAATTTTTTCAACTTCAGCTTTTAAGAAGTAATTGGCACAATATTTGCGTTTTTCTTTTCTGGAAACTAATATCAATTTGTCAGCTTAATTTGAAACCATTACTTTCAATAAAAATTGATTCTTAAGAGTAGCTGAATCAACTCTATTCATCGATGAACATTAATGTTCACAATTAAGTACCTATTTCTTCAGTGATTAATGGATAATAATCTAAAATCACATTTTCAAATGATTTTTTACACCCCGAAAATTGAAATGAAATTACCTCTCTATAGCACTCATAGTTGATACTGTTAATCCCTCCCATAGATCCAGTTCTTGGAGAGTTCAATGCTGCTATACGTAGCTAGATAGATAGATAGATAGGTTGATATGTTGATAGATTGATAGATTGATAAATTAATAGATAGATAGATAGATAGATAGATAGATAGATAGATAGATAGATAGATAGATAGATAGATAGATAGATAGATAGATAGATAGATAGATAGATAGAGATTTTCTAATCTTTTTACACCAGCAGGTTGCACAAACAGGGATTAGACAATTAGAGTTTGAGGCAAGTTATCAACTTCTTTCATTTTCTTGTTTTGATCATTTTATAATTATTTCTATTTTCTGTTTATTTGACATTTAAAGAATTTCAATTATATTCAATGTGACTTTTCCAAGTTTTAAAGTTCTCCAGTTCTCCAGTGGATTTCAAGTTCTCCAGTTATCCAGTGGATTTCTCAAATACTTCTCTATCTTGGATTTGTTTAAAATTGAAGATTTAGGGAAAACTTCTTAAATAGCTTTTCAAATATCAATACAATTTACATTTTCGGAATTTGACAAATTTCTCCAACCCATCAATCCCATCCATATACCGTACCTTGATTTTAACATGATATTTCAATTATTCATGAAAGGTATGGCTTTTAAAAAGTTATTTTAGCCGTATCAGGCCCAGCTTGACTGGCATTTTTATCTATCAGAGTTTGGAGTGCCTTTTAGGGAGCTTTTCTCATTGCAAAGGGAAATATTCTCTCTAGTTTAACTATTAAGAATATTTATATTTTGGTGCACCGTCCTGTTTTACCGTCTATAAGCTGTATGTTGCTCTAGCTGCCTAGAAGTCGGCTAGATACATCAAATGAAGCGGAGTTTCCAGTGAAAGTTTCATGTTCTGTTTTTTAATTAATTATTCTAATTTTTTCCAATATTTGAGGACAGGTGAAGGCTTCAATGAGTGAGTGAGAGGATTTACGGGAACCATGGAAGTAATATTTTTCCATAAAACCATTTAAAGAAATATCCCCAAAACAATCCGGAACCTCGTTTCAACCCTTTCTGTTCTAATCTCTACCTCTTTAGAATCCAAATGTACTTGAATTAGAAAATTATAATTTGCGGTGATTTCTTAGTGTCGGTGAGTTAGAAAAAAATAAAAATTTTAACAAATTAATATTTTCTTTAACCTTGGTTGGAACCCACTTTGGTCCGTGTAGGATCGGAGAAAAGGTGTAACTTAATCCAGGATTAGTTTCAGGTCCGGAGTATTTAGACCAGTCCTGTCGGGATCCATCCTTCTCCGGGGATTCGTTCCAACCCTTGTCCGGAGTAGACTCATCCCATTGTTGTTGCGGGATGTCCTGCGATTCGTCCCAATTTTGCGGATTTTCTTCAAAGTTGTTTTGAGTTTCCTCCTCCTCGTCCCATCGCGGTGGTTCCTCATGTTTCTCCGGGTTATATTCATGCTGTACATGGTTCTCCTGCTCCCAATCCTGGTTCTGAGATCCCCAGGAGTAGTCTCTTCCTCCGGTTTGAATAACTTCACCCAACTGAAAAATAGTAAAAGTTGTATATTTCTTAAACTTGGCACACCTGATCCAGTCTCTTCCATTTTCTTTAAACTTCTTAACATCTTGATTATTAAAACAAGGAAACTTTAAACAAAGTTAGAATAATCAAGAAAAAAGCGAATAATAAAGACAAAATTTATGAACATGAATTAATCCTTTTCAATGAACTTAAATCAAACAAAATCCTGAAAAATTAGATTTCTAAAATAATATTTAAATTCAGATCTCGAAATCAATTATGAATATAAAATAAGGACTGGTGAATGAATGAATGAATGAGTAAATGAATGATTCTGCGGGTTTAAAGCTATTCGTTTTGAACAACCTTTTCCAGTCCCACCGGCCAAGCGACCCAGAGGGAGGTCTGGTTGGGACAATGGGATATATGGAAGGATGAATGTTTGAAGGAATAAATGAATGATATGAAAACTATGAAAAATGGAGATTCATTACAAACTTGTACTGGAAGGACGAATATATTTATTATATTAAAACTATAAAAAATAAAGCTTACCATGACCCTATATAGGAAGGATGAATGAATGAATGAATAAAATATAAATAAATAAATGAATAGAGTAACCTGTATAGGTCTCCAACCCTGGCTAGTTCTGACCGCCAGCTCCTGCTTATCAGGAAACCAGGATAATCTCCCCTCCTCCAATCCAACCTCTGTTTTTTTGCCAAAACTTATTTTTCATATTCTATCTGCACAGAACCTATTTCTGATTATGAATAAAATGCTCTGCACAGAAACTATTTATGATTATGAATGAATGCTCTGCACAGAAACTATTTATGATTATGAATGAATGCTCTGCACAGAAACTATTTATGATTATGAATGAATGCTCTGCACAGAAACTATTTATGATTATGAATGAATGCTCTGCACAGAAACTATTTATGATTATGAATGAATGCTCTGCACAGAAACTATTTATGATTATGAATGAATGCTCTGCACAGAAACTATTTATGATTATGAATGAATGCTCTGCACAGNTAAATGAAGGGTCTGCACTGAAACCCTTTATAAATGAAGGGTCTTCACTGAAACCCTTTATAAATGAAGGGTCTGCAATGAAACCCTTTTTAAATGAAGGGTCTGCACTGAAACCCTTTATAAATGAAAGGTCTGCACTGAAACTCTTTATAAATGAAAAGTCTGCACTGAAACCCTTTATAAATGAATGGTCTGCACTGAAACCCTTTATAAATGAAAAGTCTGCACTGAAACCCTTTATAAATGAAGGGTCTGCACTGAAACCCTTTATAAATGAAGGGTCTGCAATGAAACCCTTTATAAATGAAGGGTCTGCATTGAAACCCTTTTTAAATGACAAGTCTGCACTGAAACCCTTTATAAATGAAGGGTCTGCAATGAATCCCTTTACAAAAGGGGCGTCTGCAATAATAGAATTCCTCTAGAAGTGTCTGCAGGGATTTCTTTTAAAGGGGCGTCATCTCAGCGTCACTTTGTGGCGAGAGCATCTGAAGAACCCCATTCAGAAACGAAGAATGAGGTATCCAGTATCCACACTATAGTCCGGAGAAATAAGACAAGTTTTGTATCCTGAGTAAAGATTGGGAAGGATTGCGGATATTTCTCGTTTTATCAATTCCTGAAATCATTTTAAATACATGGTTTCATATTCCACAAATTCATAATTTATTCACGTCCTTTCAACGTGATTTTAGCTCAGATTTCGTTACATAAATGATTCTCGACGATACACTTTAAAACTTAAGGTCGATATCTGTCGATTATATCATTGTTTTTATCTATTATATTGTTATATAGGTGGTCACAAAGGAACCATTGTGAATCGATAATGCTACTCTGTTATTGAAGGATAGCCTAAGATTACGTGAACAGTCCTAAATTAGAATCTTTAAACAAATTAAATAAAGTTTAAAGAGAAAGAATTCATGGTTTGGTCAAGTTGGATAATTCATTTAACATTTCAGATACAGAACTCTGCATTGTTCAGAACAAAACTTAATTCCCCCACCCTTCTAACCCCCCCCCCCTCATTTCCCTTCTAACCCCCTCATTTCCCTTCTAACCCCCTCATTTCCCTTCTAACCCCCCTAATTTCCCTTCTAACCCCCCCCCCTCATTTCCCTTCTAACCCCCTCATTTCCCTTCTAACCCCCTCATTTCCCTTCTAACCCCCCTAATTTCCCTTCTAACCCCCCTAATTTCCCTTTTAACCTACCTATTTCCTATATAACCCTAATCATTTCCCATTTAACTCCCTCATTTCCCATATAACTCCCCTCATTTCCCTTCTAACTCCCTCATTTCCCATCTAACCCCCCTGTTTCCGTTCTAACCTTAGACATTTCCCTTCTAATTCCCATCATTTCCCGTCTACCACACATCATTTCCCTTCTAGCCCTACTCTATTCCGTTCAAACCTTTCACATTTCCCTTTAAATTTACCATTTAACTCCCTCATTTCCCATTTAACTCCCAATTTCCCTTCTCTCCCTCATTTCCCATCCTACTCCCTTCATTTCCCTTCTAACCCCCCTAATTTTCATTCGAACCTTCTACATTTCCCTTTTAACTCCCATCATTTCTCGTATAACCCACATAATTTTCCTTCTAACCCTATTCTATTCCATTCTAACCGTTCACATTTCCCTTTTAACTCATCATTTCCCATTTTACTCCCTCATTTCCCATTTAATTTCCTCATTTCCCTTCTTACTCCCTCATTTTCCATCCAATCCACCACATATCCCTTCTAACCATCCTCATTTCCCTTTTAATTCACCTCATTTTTCCTATAACTTAATCATTTCCCTTCTAACTACCCTAATTTCCCCTCTAACTCCCTCATTTCCCTTCTAAGGGCGAATGTATATAGAAAAATAAGAAAGAAGAATTAAAAGGAGAAAAGAAAAAGAAAAGTTGATAGTGGAAATATGCAAATAAGGTAATTTATTAGCAAAAATTCTCACGGATAAATTATCCGCAAAATCCTAATCTCACAACTCAGAAGAGTGTTTTAAATAAGACTGTTCCCGACTAAAATACATGCAGGATTACCTCTATAGCTTTAAGGGCTTGTTGGCTGTTCCCTGGGGGTCCTGGTTCTCCTTGTTCTCCTTTCTTCCCTCGGACAATTTGATGGATTCTCTTCCTACTTCCCTCCACCTCTATTACAGGGGTTTCCCCAGGGGGACCGGGTTCACCCCTCTCCCCCTTTATCCCTGAGTTCCCCGGATGGCCAATGCGCCCTTGTGGGCCCCTAGGACCTGTAGAACCAGTGTGTCCAGGTGGGCCCTCAACTCCTTTCTCCCCCTTCTCACCTTTAAACCCCTGGGGTCCGCTGGATCCAGGTTCTCCTTTCTGTAAACCCTGATGGGCTGAACCTTCATCTCTGGTTAGAGAGTTTGGACCGAGCATGAGTCCAGGTGGTCCAGGAGGACCGGGGGGACCTTGCCATCCTAGTGCTCCTTTCTCCCCTTTGATCCCCTGTCTCCCGTCCTGTCCCGGTACCCCTGGAAGTCCGTCATGACCCGGAGTTCCTGACATTCCTCTCCGACCTGCTGTTCCCGGTGCTCCAATACCCCCCTGAGAACCCTTTACACCTTTTAAACCTGGATATCCTCGTTCTCCTTTGTCTCCCGGATCTCCTCTAGGTCCTGAGGGTCCAGGGGGACCCTCAGAACCCTTCTCACCCTGCTTTCCGGAGTGTAAATCCATCCCCGGGTTCGGAGCAAATGTTTCTCCGGAATCCTGAACAAGGATTCAGGTTAAAATTTTAATTAAAATCAGATATTTGTTTTATAAATTATTATGGCATTTATTGGATAAATTATTATGTACTTTGCTACTAATAAACCCGGCAGTGTGTACAATAACAACGTGAAGAAGACAATCTTCCACAATAAAGAGGGTTCTAATTGTTTATGTGAAAGGATTAGTGGGTGAAGTGGATCGTCTCAGCATTCCGTTCCCAGCAAACAATTATCCCGCTTGGTTTTTTATTTTCGGAAGAGGGAGGGAAGGCAACCCACACAATAGAATAGTTTTATTCTATCTCAATATTAGAGGGAGGGAAGGCAACCCACACTCTAGAATAGTTTTATTCTATCTCAATATTAGAGAGGAAGGGAAAGAAACCAACATTTCATGTTTTTGCCAAAGTAAGATTTCTAAATTAAATAATTTTACGAACGTTTTTTTCTTTAAACATTAATATTTTATTTACAGAAAACCGGATTTAAAAACTTGTTTTTCGAAGCTGATAAAAGTTTGCGAATAAATTGTGTTGCATCCCTCTCTCCCTCTCCTGGTACAGAACGAGAAGAATTCATTATATCTTACTTGGAACACATTCCGTCTAGGCCAGGACAGCTGCAATATACAAACATTAACAATAAATAAATAGATAGGTTATAGTACAATTCTTTTCTAGTTCTAGTTTGGGATTTAAAGGGACTGTTTACCGTTTACGAATGAGAAAAATTCTGAAAAAATTTGTTTAATTTAATAGTTGTCTTGTGAGTTTAGATAAGAAATTGTGTATACTTAATTATTAATTGTTGTTTAAAACCTGAAAAAAACGAACAATTAAATAAAAGATTCTCTGTATACTGTTCATTCTATAGATTAATTAAAATAACAGATAGGACATCAGATTTCGTCTTTTTAAGATTTATAGTATTTCATTCACAATAACCCTGAGACAGAAGCCCAAAGGAGTTACGCGTAGAACAGGTTCTCTCTCTGTCCTGTAATTCTACAGAGAAAGAGTCTGTTCTGCCTCAGGGTTATTGTGCACGTAATATTTTTAAATCTTGAAAAGACGAGATCTTGTTATTTGTTAAATTAATTAATCTAAATTTCATTCCATTTTAGAAGTACATTTTTTTTAGCTTGTAGCAGCAATAATTTGAGTCTAAATGAAACTTAAGAATGCTTGAGAATTATGAGTAAAATCCGGGAACAGGAAAAACCGGAACCCAGGAATAAGCCACATATGTACACTTGTTCTTTCTCTAAAGTGGTGACCCCAGACAACAACTGAGCCATGGCCAAAAAACGCAGCCTCCTAACTGCAAACAGCTCAAGATTTGGCCAAAGAAGCAATCTCACGGACAATCTCAAGCATAAACCTCAGCTACTCCTGGAGCTAATAAGCTAAACCTCGGCTACTCCTGGAGCTAATTAAATATACCTCAGCTACTCCTGGAGCTAATAAGCTAAACCTCAGCTACTCCTGGAGCTAATAAGCTAAACCTCGGCTACTCCTGGAGCTAATAAGCTAAACCTCAGCTACTCCTGGAGCTAATAAGCTAAAC